TCTTTGGCCCACATTTATTAATCATATAACAAACAAAAGAAAAAAAATTCAGCCCATCTCCATTACCCACTACCATTGCCATATAAAAGCCCATGCCCCATCCCATCTCCTTCCAAACCCTAACCAAATCCTCAACTACTCGGCTGCTGCTCCAACCTCCAAGCCTCCACGAGATCCCGGCAAATCCCCTCCGCCTTTCGTCACCTCTACTCTTCTCCACCTCCCTCCTCAACCCTACCAAAAACCCTCACGTCGCCGTCTCGTCATTGCTTGACGACCTCTCCCTCCGCCACACCGCCCACACGAGGCTCCAAGCCACCACCGCCGGCCGACTGTAAATACCGGTATTTTCTAATGTATGACATGTTCCTCTTTTGTTGAGTGATTGTTTAGCTGAATAACTTCCCTGGAACTAATATGAACTAAAATGGATACTTTTGGTATTTAATGGTAGCTGATGGCTGACTATTTGAGCTGTTAGTTTTAGCGACTTTGTTACACGTTCCCATTCCTATTTTTGTATCACTGTGAATATTTTGTAGGGAAAATAACTCCATGACATTGCTAGTTGGATGCTTAATCTGTATTTATTTTTTGTGTTTGGTTAGTTTAGCCCATTTTTGATTGTATTTTGTAAATTTGTAATTGTGTAGATCCTTTCCATGAAGCGAAGAGCAAACGAGAAAAGAAAAAAGAGGTTTGTTATTGTCATGAGTAAATGCACTCTACAACATGTTACTCAAGCGTTGACCGCAATGTTTTTTCTTACAAATGCAAGAAAAAAATCTATCAGGAAAACTTCTTTTCAATTTTTCTTCATTTTCTTATTTTCCTTTTTTCCTTTTTGTCAATAATATGAATCCACCATAACAAATTATGTGGGAGTTTGTTAGATATTGGTCTTGCTTTTGTAGCTCATTTGTTTTTCTTACTAGTACGGTGCCCGTACGATGCACGGGAACATTTATTAACTATATATTTTTTAAAAAGTCTTTTTGTATTTAAATTGTCTCAGGCCATTAAAAATTTCATGAAAAATGAAATTTATATGTTATTAAACACTTCCTTATGTACAACATTATTGATTTGATTCTTTGGCACGTAAAGTACTACATAGGTGTTCAAATTTATCCAAAATTGCATATTATTAGTTATTAGTTAACAAATTTTTTTTAAAAAATAAAGGATCTTATTTACTGAACAAAATTAAAGTAGAAAAAAAGTAGAATTTTTTAGGGATCTTCACCCATTTTTTATTTTAAATCTAATTCTAAATTTCAATTAAGAAAAATTGAAAAGAATCATTAGTTATTCCCGGAAATGAAACCGATTTTCCTACCAATAAATCGATTTTTTTATCAAACAAATTGATCCGAATTCTTTTAAAACCAAATAAAAAAAATTATCAATTTTTCCTAAAAATGCAACCAAATTTTTCTAACATTGCACCAATTTTTGTATCAAACAAATTGAATTTAAAATAATTCTAATAAACAAATGAAATAAATTGTTAATGTTTATGCAACTGTCTCTTTCCTAAAGAAAATGATATGAACTTAACAAAAAAAATATGATATGAACTTGTCAAAATCTCGGTAAAACATGATTAAGAAAAAACATATGAATCCAAAAACATCGATGCACTTAAATTTTGAAAAGTTGCATACAATTTTTCCTAAATAATTGGATAAGGTGACTTTAAATATCAATGATGAACTGCTTTTGTTACCATAAAATGTGGACACAATTTTGAATGTACATCACGTCCAAATATCAATTTTATTTTAAAATAAAAATTGCACGTGGCTTTATCCAATTTACAAAATTTTTTTAAAAGAAAAAATTATTCAATAAGATTGGAAGAAGTGGTTAAGAATTATACAACTATTTGTTTCCTAAATTTATATCCAATTAGCACAGATTTTAAATTAATTTGTATTTAGAATTATTTTCATAAATAATTGACACATTTTTTGCATAAGATCTCCAAATTTCTTACCAAAAAAGATATGATTTAAATTTTAGTAAAAAAATAAAATATGATACGAAAAAAATGGGATTCAAATTTTGCCATAAGAATCTCCAAATTTGTTACCAAAAAAATAGGATTTAGATTTTGTTATTAAAGATTCACATGTGTTTTTTTGAACTTTTCATTAATAGTAAGTCAAACATTATATTTATTTGATCAAACTTTCTATTAATTTATTTTTCCAACAACCTCTTTATATATATATAGATATAGATTCGCTACTCTTTCTAACTACATAATGATTTAGTCTTATGAGGACAGAAACCAACTATTGTTGATTCCTCTTATTAAATCTATTTTGAGATTCAAGTTATGTAGCGTTGTAATTTTTGTGGCATTGCATATCATTCTCCAATTTTACATAATGTGATTTTTATTTTTATTGTCAGGGAGGGTAAAGATCAGCCAGGTCTCGTGGTGCTAGTAGTAGTTCCAATCGAGGTAGTGAGATTGGTGCAGATCGTCAATATGGGCGCGGTCCTTCAACACAGTATTATACTTCTCTCGTCTGTTTGGTACTTAGCTTTTATAGGTGTAAGAATTGCTCAATTATGAATAGTAATTCAATCACGGGGGGACATATTTAACCAAATTGTTCTATTTTCAGACTCTTCATTGCATGGGAACACGACACACAAGAAAGAAAATGTATTTGGTCCTTATTTGAGTTCGTTATGGCGGATCATGGAATAACAAAAGCAAAGGACCTCCAGGCCCCAGGTTTTTTATTTGCTCTTGTTATAGTTGAGCGACGCTGGAAGTCTGTAAACACTTTACGGGTACAATGCATCCTAAAATTATTTAGTTGGGAAATGAAGGGCCAACAGTAATAATGGTCAATGGTTTCAAAAAGTGGTTCAGAATAATTGTAATGGTTGTTTCTGTTTGGCACAACTCTACGTCGGTCCATTAACTAAAGTTTAAAACCTTTTTAATAAGTGAATTCTCATGTGTCCAATCGTCGACGAAGTTACTTATCCAAAGTTAAATTCTCAAGCAAACATCTATAACCATGGATGGAAAGGACTTTTAGATCCAAATGTCCTTTTCAAAAGTGCTTTCAAACATGCATGACATCCTAAATCCTCAGATTTTTCTGACTTTGCACGAGTTTGAGACTTTTTAGAGTCAAATAGCTTGCCTTGTCTTCAGCTAGCCTAAAAAAGCATTATTTAGGATTTTTCGAGAAAGTTGGAGCTAGAACAAATTTGGTTAAGGTTTGGAGGTATTGGCGAATTTCAACGGTGATTATTGAGCAAGCGACCAAACTCCTCTCTCTACATAGAATTTCTTATTCAAATTTTTAGTTGAAAATGAGTTTATTTTAAAAATCGAGATGGGTTTAGATTTTTTATAAGTGGGACTTACACTTTTCTAGATTTTCTTATTCGAATTTTTAGTTTAAATGAGCTTTATAAAATAAAAAATGTGTTTTGATTTTTGTAAGTGTGATTTACCTCTGAATAGGGCTGTTCATCGGTGAACTACGAAAATCGAATTAACCGAAGTATTAAATTTTAGAAACCGAACCGACCGAATTAAGTACCTAAACCGAAGTTTAACCGAACCGAATTGGTCGAACGGTTGGGTCGGTTAACCGAATTTTTACAAGAAAACAATTTTTTTAAGATTGTTTACTGGGCTCAAACAAATTGGTCTTTTAATTGGACCAAGCACAATTGTTGTTAACAGGCAAACTGTTACAAGTTGGGCTTTTATTTTGGTAAATCTAAATATTGTTAAATCGAATATGATAAAAACTCTATCTAAATGCATGTCAGTTCTCCCCTAAAAGAAGATGATGAAGTAGACAACTTGGATATAAAGCTGGACATGAAGAAAAAGAGTAAGTGTGTATCGTTCCTCTGCTGCAGAAATTAATTTGAAGAAGTGTGACTTTAGAAAATAAAACAAAAAAAATTACTTAGGGTCTCATTAATTCGACGACTGGTGACCACGAGCTCCTTGACCGACGGAGGAGCAATGACTGACGGAGGAGCAGCGACCGACGGAGGACTGGCACGAGTCGACGACCGGTGACCACGAGCTCCTTGACCGGACGGAGGAGGAGCAGTGACGGAGGAGTAGCAGCGACGGAGGAGTAGCCGTGTAGGGGTGGAGGATTTGGGGACGGCGAGGAGGATTTGGGGAAGGGATATGATATCCCTGCTGCGGGCGGTTTCTGAAATGCGAAGAGGAAAAGTGTACAGAATTAGGATTCGGGATTTAGGCTTATTGGCTTAATTTATATTTGAAATAAAATATTATATTATAATATATAATACGATATTATATATATATTATTCGGTCAGTTCGGTTATTTCGGACATTTTATGTCCGAAAACCGACACCGACCGAAATAACCGAAATGTTACAAAATAAAAACCGACTACCAACAGAGTCGAACAAAAACCGGACCGAATTGGTCGGTTCAGTCGATTTCAGTCGATTTCAGTCAAATTTTGCACCCCCTTACCTGTGCATACCAATGGTGTGGTGTGGTATGCAATAAAAATATATTTATTGACTTTTTCGATTATTCTTCCTTCCTTAAAATAAATATATATATNAACTAACCTAGCAACTACAGAGAACTAACCTAGCAACTAGTAACCTAGCAACTACAAAGAACTAACCTAGCAACTACAGAGAACTAACCTAGCAACTACATAGAACTAACCTAACAACAACTAACCTAGCAACTACATAGAACTAACCCAACAACTACAGAGAACTAATCTAGCAACTACAGAGAACTAACCTAGCAACTGCAGAATGACGAAGAGGGTTGAGCGCAGTGGCGCATAGCTCGGCGTATTCCACATCCCAAGGTCGAGTCACCTGGAGGAGAATTGGAGAACCAATATTAATCCTCCTTTAGTTAAGAAAAAAAAACCTAGCAACTGCAGAGAACTAACCTAGCAACTAGAAAGAACTAACCTAAGAATTACTAACCTAACAACTACAGAGAACTAACCTAATTCAGTAAGTTGTTCCAAAGAATCAAAACGGCCAATTATTAGTGGAATTCCTCGTCGGCTCTCTATGAAATACTCGTGCAACGGTGCAACTACAGAAAACTAGCCTAACAACTACATAGAACTAACTTAGTTGGAAGGTTAGTTAAACGCCGGAGTCAATGTCGAAAGTCAACGCCGGAAGTCAACGGTCAACGCCAGAAGTCAACGGGTCCAAATAATATTTATAAAATTAAAATAATAAAAAGAAAAGAGTAAATTTTGGCCATGATGTACCAAATCTTGTGGCTAAAAATGAGTTTCACGTCCTCACTTTAAATAATGGGATGCATTGAAACCAATACCTATATATATCTAACGCTTATTTACCCGTTCATTTATTTTTGCATCTCTCTTTATTAGGGTTGTTGGAGAAAAACAAATAAGGCCTATTTTTGCATCTCTTTATTTAGGTTGTTGGAGAAAAACAAATGAGGGCTTGAATTATTTGTTTAGGTTTGGAGAAAAATAGACAGATGCATACATCATGCATTCTAGAAGAAAATTATATTATAACATTAAATATAAATTTAATAAGAAAAGTAATTTTGAATAAAAAAAGCAACTATCTCGTGTATCACGTGCATCTTTCTAGTCATATTCAAAATTAAGAATTTAACTTTTGCTCTGAAGTCCAACAGCGTATGAAGATTATCACCGCGTACGCCCACTCCAATAATGATGGGGTTTTGTTTCAAAAAATCAATCGCGACTTAGCCGACGACCCACAAGTTATCTAAACTACTATCTCGCTGCTCCATAGAATCCTCCAAGTGACTGATCAACGCGTGACATCTATAACCATCTCCAAAAAAAGTCGCATGATACTTTCCGTTTAAGAAAGTACGAAATTTATCTGCATCATCTGTCTCCTAAAACTCGTAGTATTTGACAAACGCATGATTAATAATCACTAATTAAAATATTCGTTATTTTCAAAGTAGACATGGATTAGTTATTTTCAAATTAGACAATTTAAACATAAATACTTTTAATTTTAAAATTACCTCTACGGATTCGCGTCACACGTGAATTTACCGCAACAAGTAGTTTTGTTGGGGAAAATCTCACCCAAATAACTGTTGTCTCATGGGAGGGACCACGAGAGGTACATGGATCAACCTATAACAAAGAATAAAATGTAAATGCAAACAACTTAAACATGCATGAAACGTAATCAGCATATATGTCACACACTTAATTGGAAATGTAAATAATCCCTAAAACATCCACGACTGTGACTATAACAGTCGTGGATGTTTTAGGGATTATTTATATTTCCAATTAAGTGTGTGTGACATATATGCTTGATCGTCTTATATATGTTTAAGTTGTTTGTATTATATTTTATTCTTTGCTATAAGTTAATCTATGTACCTCTCGCGGTCATTCCCTTGGGGAAACAATTGTTTGGGTGAGATTTTCCCCAACGCAACTACTTGTTGCGGTGGACTCACGTGTGACACGAATGCGTTATGTAATTTTAAAATTAAAAGTTTTTGTGTTTAAATTGTCTAAGTTGAAAATAACTAATTCTTGTCTACTTTGAAATAACAAATTTTTTAATCCTTGTATTAACGATTATTAATCATGCGGTTGCCAAGGACTACGAGTTTTTCGAGGCATATAATGTAGAGAAATTCCGTACTTTCTTAAACGGAAAGTACCATGCGACTCTTTCTGGACATGGTTATAGATGTCACGCGTTGATCAATCACTTGAAGGACTCTATGGAGGAGCGAGATTGTATAGATAACTTGTGTGTCATCGGCCAGGTCGCGTTGTGATAACAAGGTGGAGAGGAGGTTTTGGTGTAGCGATTGCTTCAAATAGAAAAAAAAAATTAGTGTCATTGGTCCGGGACAAATTGTAAGGCCATGTCACAATTCTTGTGACATGGCTATGAGATAACTAGACCTCACTCAGTCAGCAAACACCGATTCATTCTGGTGCTCTGCAAATTGGCTCGTCGGGCTTGCGCACCACTTTTGTCCCTACTCATTGGAGTATTCGATTCCTATCCGGTTGTCTCTCTACACCTCTTCACTCTAGGTACTAATGACTACATTTTTTAATCTTCCAATTTTTGTTGGTTGTGGGTTGTTGATTGGGTTTTGGATTCTGATATCGAATAATTAATGCGTTAAAATGAGCCGAAGAAGTATGGACTTGCAGTGTTTGTTCTGCGTCTTTTGTACTGTACATGATTCTTGATTGGCTTCTATTTAGAGTGATTGGCTTCTATTTAGATTGAGTAAGGTGTAGCCTGTAATAACTAATAAGCAAATAATTGTTGCCTTAATTCAATCGCCTCTTTTCATATTCTTCAATCGATTTTTAAATTCAACTCTATGTCTATAGCTCTTGTTCTTAACGGCGGTGCTACGAAGTTCGATGAGCTCTTCGCCTTCGCTATCATCACGTACCAGGCACTCGTGAAGTTTCTTCTCAGCACCTTCATGTATGTTCCAGCACCGCCCAGGTAATTTTGTGATTCCAAATGTATGTTCCATGACTCCATTGTGAAGCACCATATTTCCCTGATTCATGGGCGGCGTCGTCTTAATGGGTAATTGTTGGGCTGTTATGTTATTTTTTTCTTGGTATTTGCCTGCCGCTTTTTCTACTGTGTGCGTGTGTGTCTATGCGAAGTTAGCAATTTATTGGAACTAACAACTAAGAGGGGATGTTTAGTGGCACTCCAAACATAATCAACCATTGTTATTCTACTACACACTTCCGTACACTGAA